ACCTCATATCTGCACAATGGGAGCACTTTTGAACATACTTCATACAGATTCAGTAAGCTACAGTGTAGAGGCTACAGCTTTTGTTTTTGGCTATTTTTGGTAATTGGTCATGTGACCATCATCCTGATATCTTGTTGAATGAAGCCTATTTGTCACTTCAAAACAATGTGGCACCACTTTGACCCCATTAGTAAAGTTATGGATAATTTTGAAGATGCTGTGCAAACTAAGCAAAATGTGGTAAATACACTAATTATTATAAGCCTTGGATAAAATTCTGTGTTGCTCTGCCATAATCTTGCAATTCTGATAGCCTAGATACACAAAGAGACTAACAGCTAGAATTCTGGCAGCCAATGACAAAGGAGAATAAATTTCAACCAGCTTTCCAGACCTCCTACATAACTTGCCAATATTCCACAATTGTTTGCAAGGAGGATATAAATATTCTATTACCAGGCCAACAACAAGATTTGTGGAGGACTTGTAACAAAAGAGAATAATTTTTCAACCCATTTTCCAGACTTCCTACAATAACTGGCCAATATTCGATGATTCAGACAGCATGGTTACAAAAAGAGGCCAACTACTAAAATCGTGGCAGACTCATAACAAAAGAGGATAATTTCAACATATCTTCCAGACATTCTACAAAAATTTGCCAATATTGTGCTTTCAACCTGCTTTGTAGACCTCCTACAATAACTTGCCAATATTCTATAATTCTAAAATCTGGTTACCTTGCTTGAAAGGGACATGAAGAATTTCTGAAACAATTTGGGCTGCTCCAGTCACAGGTTGAGTTTGAAAGCACAGATGTAATCAATGAGACTTTGACTATAACCCATTCTGGGTTTAACCTCAATGTGCTCTCTTCCAGAACATGGGTCCTTTAAACTGATCTGCAACTCCTCTTAGTGGCTCCCATTTTAAGATCCAGCATTCACCACATTTCTCAAAGAGTTGTTTAATGGCCCATCACTGCTGAGTCTGAAAGATCCACATAAAAAGTATCATAAAGTTGTCACCTTGGATGTCTTTGCAAGCTCAATTCTGGACAAAGACATTGCCCTCAGGGCAGCAGCTGTGCATATAAGTACTTCCAATCTTTGATTTGTCCTAATTGATTTCTGAGAACAGTGGCTCTACAGTGGAAGAAAACTTATTTTCCTGAATAAGTCGAAGTTTATTTGTGTCATCTGCTGCAGCCAAACATCCTTCTGACAACTACCACTGCAACTTCAACTTTTCTTCTGCAAAACTACCTAATGCGTAGAATCTGAAAGTAGGATGAGGGCTTTGGAACTGGCAGCAGCACGCGTCGTGACACTATACTTTGATCCTATCTAAGATTCACCTACCATGAAATAGAACACAAAGAGGTTCTAGAGTAAACACCCAACGCAGGGAGAAGAATTGCATTACTACCAAACGGTTTAGAAACACATAATGTATTTAATGTGGAAACTCATACTTATACAAGAAATATACAGAAAGACGACATAGACGCCTAATGGTATGTCTAAAACACAGAAAAGACGGCTCATGGCCATTCAGAAAGTCATGTATGGCAATTCCCGCATACACATCAAAGACTGATGCATCCAAGTAGAGACTTAGGAGGTGGACAATTGTAATCAATTAAAAGGAGATTTCTTCGTGGTCAGATAAGTTCAGTGTGAACGAAGCCAGCATGCTTGGGGAGTCAACTTACTTGGAGACTTTTGAATAAGAGGTTTTAAGGACACAAACTCATTGCAATTCTTTTTTAGGGAGAAAACACCATAAAAAACAAAGAACATATGATATTTTGGTAAGTTTTAACTTGAGTTCTATGTTCTGAAGCTCATAAGAAGCATCTAGTTAGTGGCAAGAATGGGCCCCATTTGTGAGAAGCTGTGCTTCAATGTTCGAACTCATCACAATTTTTCTGGGGGGGACACCAAAGA